GCCTCCACCAGTGTGTGAATGTGAGAGTGAATGAATAGTGGAATTGTAAAGTGCTTTGGGTGCCTTGAAAAGCGCTATATAAATCCAATCCATTATTATTATTATTATTATTACTGCAGAATAACACAGTTTGTCAGCTTAATACACACCGGTTGTCTCTTTTGTCCTGTAGACCTCGTAAACATCACAGCTGAAACTGGACAGAATGTCACTTTGTCATGCAGAGCCAACAACAACAACCTCCTTACATTTCTGGAGTGGAGCAAACATGGTCTTAGGAAAGGATATTTACTTTTGTACCGGGATGAGCGGTTTGATCTAGAGAACCAGCATCCATCGTTTAAGAACCGAGTGGAGCTACGGGACAGACAGATGAAGGATGGAGACGTGTCGTTGATACTGAAGGATGTGACGCTTGATGACCGCGGAAGTTACGAGTGTCGTGTTGAGACAAAAATGAACCGCAAAAAGAGAACGAATCAGGATGACGACCCCGTCATCATCATCAGCCTGAATGTTGTTCCTCCAGGTGAGTGAGTAGAGTTGAGTGTGTGTGTGATCAGAGGTGAAGCTGCTTCCTGGTTGTTGATGTTTGTTTCTAAAGATGTTGTTGATGAGACTTTGTAGAAAGCAGCTGGTGCAAATGTCTGACACCTGTTTATAACCTACAGGGCAGCCGGGAGGTGACGAGGAGGATGGAGAGAAGACGGGACAAAGAAGTCGTAACAGTATTCTCATTGTGGCAGTTCCCACTGTTCTTGTCTTTGGTGTTCTTGCTGTACTGATCTACAGAAAACACAAAAGACAGATTCAGGGTCCAGATGACTACCAGCCTCCTGCTGAAGTGATGACTATTTTAAATGTCTCAGATTCTACAGCGTCTACAGTGTCCTGATGATGCTTCAAATCCTCTCATCAACTGTGTGTAGAAAAGCAGCCCGACTCAGTAAAAATGTTCAATGAACTGTACAGTCCACTGCAGGGCCCATATATGTCCCATAGTACATTACTGCAACTCCCTTATTCACCAAGGGTCGCTAAAAATGTCATTTCTACACCAGCTTCTCTTCCTGACGCCACCCATCAGGGACCTTTGTTTGGGCTCGCCCTTTTGGGCCATGGAGACCCTGAAGGGGAATTCTGCGGACACATGTGAGCACATATGTTTGCTTTGAAATGAGATGCATCTGATACAGGGATAGTGGGAGGTCTTTGTGCTCACAGTGGGATAAATGGTTTGAAGAGAGGTGTAAGTAATGGAAACAGCTGCTGTGCAGACACCGTCACAAAGTGCTAACTGACACGTTTATCTCTTACTGACTGACATGAAAGTCCAGAGCGAACCCTAGTGTGGGAGTCAAATGTCCACCTGAAATTATTTTTTTTAAACGACAAATAATAATACAGCTGCGTAACAGGGTTTGTTCTGAGCCATGTACACATGTCAATAATGCAACTGTGTCCTGCCCATTAAACACTGTTTATAGTTACAGTGAAAACATTGTTTGCTAGGGTGAGGTGGCATCAGATAATCTGCTGTTGTTCCTGTTACTCTGAAAACTCCCCGGTAACATGAGGTAAAAACTCAACATAGATAAACAGATTTTCTCACTAAGATTTCCTGCTGAGAAAAACTACAGCAACATGATTTATTTGAAGTCTTTAAACACAAACTAAATGAGTTTCAGTGCTTCCTCCCTCATGAAATAAAAGTGATCACGCTGTTGCATAATTCATAGTGACTATCAGACCATCAGCTCATTATGTAAATTAATATTATATGTGTACTGTATCTTACAGCAGAACTTGATAATATGCTGATATGTTTTAAACTTGAAACTGTTTGCAAAGCTCACAGGTGAACTCTTACTGCAGTGTAGCTCCATCTGTCTTCAGTTTGGCTGCTCTAATATTTCTGCTATCGTTAGCTTAACTGGCATCAGATATGCTGAAGGATTTTAAACAGG